TTATCAATATTATCACACTGAGGCGCAGTTAGAGCGGAGTGTTTTTTGGTGGGTGGCTGGTTCGGAGTACTGTGAGAAAAGCAAAAAGCAAATGACAGGCTGAAGAGGGTTATCTAGAGAATCAGGTAAACCCAAAACATTGTTTAACCCATTTTATCAGCCAGCTGTGTATGAGTGTGACAGGGAGAGATTTGTATAGAATATGACAGCTTACGATGAGTGAAAGCTGTCTCTATGGAGGCAGTAGGATTTAAATATACAGTAAAAACCTGTTCCAATAACAGATTTTTGCATTGCGTCATACAAAACACATAATGATAACATGATCACTGCATCGATGTCTTCTTGACAGGCCTACAGTGTTCTACCTGAGCTAATTAGTGCTGCATAATGCAGTCCCTCAAGGATTTTGTAGACCTTTTTTGTGATTGTTGCGATCTAAAATGCCTGATTTCGTGGCAGCTTATCTAACAAATTGCAATTAAAGTTGCTGTGATTTGGGGCGTTTTTTTTTAAACTTTAGAATTATAGTTAAATCATTAACCAGTCCCTTCAGGATTACACGGACATAACCCTTTCCCAAACCATGCACATTTAAACCAGCTTACCATAATTCTTTCAGCGCTTGCAATTGACCGGGATGCAACAGTGATGTGTTCAGTCTGACTTTCTGACTTCGCACATATCTGCAGCAACTTGTAAACAAGGAAATGACAAGCTGACGTGTGACAACGTTTTTTGCGGGAAACAGCGATAATAGGTCAAATTTGCGGAAAAGTTGCGGTGATTAGTCAAAATTGTCACGCTGAATTCACAGGAATTTGTTCATTTTGTGTTAATAGTTGCAATTGCGACATTGCCAAATCCTGGAGGGACTGATATTGTCTCCTTTCGTGTGAATAGTTTTATATTTAGTATAGAAATGTAATGTACAGCTATATTTTCATGAAGACAAATTCCTATAATTTATATATTCTATTTTTGTCCCCATTTTGTGTTGTCTTTTTGTAACTTGCAGGAGTGTGCTGTTGTTACATTACAAGCCAATAGGGGATCAAATAACAAAGAACTGAATGTGAAAAAACGACTAGGGCCTTCATCAGGTTGCTTCTTATTTGCAACTTACAGTAACTATAGGGACAATGATATATTTCTGCCAATTACTGTGTGCTGCTTTGTATTTAAATACATGTATGCATGACCGAACTAATTATGAAAAATAACGAAAAACAAATTCACTTGTGTTTCAGTGAGTAAACAAGGTGAAACAATGCTGACATGATATTTCAGATCAGAATTCAGAACAGCCGCCTAGTGTGTCCTGAATTATTCATTAACACAGAGCAGACAAGCATTTGTATGTAAATGTTTCTGTGTGTGCCTACGTGCATGTTACATGTTTCCCCTCTTCATCCTGTCATTTGCTGTCTAGATAGATGGATAGAGAGAAAGAGAGAGAGAGCGACAAGACAAGAACATAAAGGTACATGTGCAGTCGTCTCTGAATGGTCCCATAGTGTGAACAAACGTTGTTCCCAAACACGGCCTTCTAAGGCAGAGCAACGCCAAGCCAACCAGCAGAGGTCTTGCCCTGTTAGCCAGCCTGCCAAGCACAATGCTTCTCCATCTCCATCTCTCAGCCGTTAACCATAGCTGACAGTGAGTCACTGACTTAAAAACAGGCTGCAGTCTGCCACGGCATCAGCTTAAAAGTAATCATTCTACTATGCAGAGTCAATATTGTTTTTTCCTTTTTCTGTGTGTGTGTGTGAGAGAGAGACAGAGAAAATGATGTAAACACGGCGAGGGAAGGAGGAAGCTACAAAGGAATGAAGAGGAAAGGAAGAAGAAAAACACAGAAGCAGTTGTGTGTCAGGCCTAAGAATGAGCTGTAACCTAATGAGTCTAGATGAAAGCTGACTGTCTGAGCTAACTCAATTCTTTGCTCTGCTAGTCATAGTGCTTAGCTTAATGATGTTTGCTCCGGACTACTGATGCCACAGCCAGTGCTGGATTGCCTTTTTTTGGTCATATGTTTTCCTGTGTGCGACAACCCTCCGCCACTTTCATGTGTAGAATTTTGAACTTGGCTGAGGCCGCACACAGGCTGACATCACCCACTCTGTGCAGCAGACATCCGTTTAAGACATGTTTACAGTGCTTAAACCAACGGCATGCCTCTATCTCCGCTCCTATAAACACAGAATGTGGCGGGCCATGTGCACACTTGTATGTGTGCACAGTGTTTACACAGAACAGATAAAGAAATATGACCAGAGCAGGAGGTGAAGCTGCAGTCTGTAGGGTTGTGGTTAAATACACAACAGGAATGAAGACACAAGGCCAAGGATGTTCCAGGGAGGTCTTTGTAAAGTATCAGAGAGTTTTGAGGGGCAAGGTGTAGTGTGTACACAGAGGTGAGGAGGAGTCACGATTCTTGCTCAGGAATGCTGTAAAGCTGTTTGTAGAGTCAGCAGGACAGTGAAAAAGCTTAGGTGTTGGAGCTTTGCCAAAGCAGTGATGGGAAAAAAAAGAAGACAGAAAGCGAGTGATCGGGAATAAGAGAAAAAATTTGATCCATAAAGAGAAATCTCAGGCGTGTTGTCCATTGAGGAGAGTATTACACTCTCCATAAAAATGTAGTCTCAGGTTAATGAAATCTGGGAAGCTCTCTTTAGAATTGTATCATTCCTGCCCTTCTACACCATTTCTACCATTTCCATTTCCACTGCAGAATACAGTCATCCTCTTTGTTTCATGCTGCCTATCAGCAGCACATCTGTTTCACACATCACTGTGGTTCCTGAGCAAATTTCTATTCCCATCTACCAAATCCAGGTGTGTGTATGTGTATGTGTGTATGTGTGCCACTACAGAAGCAAAGTGAAAGAACATTCATTCATTACACAAAGCATCCAAACAATACCACATTATACCCACCAATAGAACAAAGGGGTCTACCAAGAATTATATCTCAATTCAATTCAATCAATTTGACAGTGCCTCAGTTGAAATCTAAAGGTTTAGGGTTACAGATAGAAACATGCTTCAGGCAATGTGTGCTGTTCACTTTCCAGGTATATATGAAATAGATGTCACAGATAGATCCCGACCGATATGGGATTTTTAAGTCCGATACCAATTTTGAGATTTGAGATTTTTAAAATCCGATCGCTGATATATCGGCCGATATTGTTTTTTCCCCTTATTTTAAAAAACACATTTTGAGTCACTAAAATGTTGATATGTTGAGACCATACAAAGATACCATGACATAATGCAGTATAAAAAGAAACTTTTTTACTGTTATAAATAGTACTTTGAACAAAAGTACAACCAAATGTATCAAGGTTTTGATGAATAAGAGTCAAATAAAACTACAGAAACATTTTTTTTTAAATATCTGATTTGTTATAAATTATGGAGTACTACTACTAATGAACATTAAAGTAAAAGTAGTTCCCAGGTAAGGACTACTAGCCAATCAGAAGCAGAGAAGGGCGGGTTGTAAGAAACAAGGTAGTGTGATCCAAATCAAAGCCGCTTCAGACTGCGACCGTAACCTAGCAGATGGTATAAGCTATTACCAGTCCACAACCACACAACATTATTGCTCCACATCTTACCATCAGGACTAAACATTGAACTGTTGCCGGTGTTCTGACGATCTATGCTGCCTTGCCGAAAAATGCTACCATAGCGCAAATCGATAGACTCGACTCTACTCGGCCCTGCTCCGTTTTCCATTGCAGATAGTACCCAGAGATAGTATGTAGCTTGTCGTCATAGCAACACCACACACAAACTGCCGCGACGTAATGTTCAATGTGACACACACACCAGCGATCCGCACAGCTTTCTCTTTTTTTAAGTTAAAACGTTTCAACATTACTCAGAATGTAAAGACAGATAAGCGGTATGAAAACCTTCCAGCTGTGTTTTGCTCTGCCGTTGTTGCTGCAGCGGTCTGTGTGATGGCGGGAGCAGAGGGCTCTGTGAGCGGGCGGCTGGCCGGCCTCACACGCACAGGCTTCCCCGCAGCCACTTGCGGAGCTCCTCAAATCCGACAATATTCAAGCACATTTTTGTTCAGCCATCACTTCTCGTAAAACTGTCAATATTCGAAATCTACACAGCTGATTTCTCACCTCAAAACTTCTCAGAAGTGGATTTAGTGATGAAATTCCATACGAAAAGTGTAAAATCTAAAACTTTCTGTTGCTGGCCTCTGCCTGGTGCACGCAATGATGATGCAGTGAATAGTGACGATTCTCTCTGACCAATCAGCAGTCTGTCGTGTTTTCAGGTTACATTTTAGTATCTCTCAGCTCGCTTGGAACCTGGAGGAGGTGAGGTGATACGACAAAAAGTACCTGGAAGCAGGTACAACATTTCTACAATGGAAAACCAAACAAAGGCGAGTCGAGCCAAAGGGCCTCCGCTCAGACTAGCTTGGTTTGAGGGCGTGCCTGACCCTGCTAGCCGCTTGGCAAGCTTTATGATGCGTTTTCTTTGTGATGTCACAAGTAAAGGAAGTGAAGGGCTGGACTACAAATGAGCTGTTTTCAAGCGGTTCAGAGCAGTGCTTTCTGTGGGAGATGGGAACTCCCTTTGGGCTGGACTTTCTCTTTCTTAATAGTCACATATCGGCTGTTAAAAACAGCAATGCAGATATATCTGCAAGTAGCTTATATCAGCCGATAATATCTGCAAATCCATAAATCGGCCGGGCTCTAGTCATAGAGGTTAATTCAGGAGTCAGAAAGGAGGCGTAATGTGATTGTTGTAACATCAGGGTGTTGAAAAAAGCTAATTTGACAGCAGATGTGAAAGAAATAGTTGAAATAGCAGGTGAGTAAGAGCGGTGGAGCAAGTGGTGCAAGAACTATTGTTTTTACCATTTTAGTTTAGCATGTTAGCAAACTAACATTTGTCAATTAGCACTAAACACAAAGTACAGCTGAGGCTGATGGGAATGTCATTAGTTTTGCCAACTTTTATAGCAATCCATCCAATAGCTATCAAAATGTTTCATACAAAAAAATCAGTGATCACCAGCATAGGCCTCATCCTCTGAGCACCATGAATGCATGTATAACGTTTCATAGCAGTCTATCCCGCAGTTGTTCAGATATTTCAGTCTAGACCAAAGTGGTGGACCGATCAACACACCAACATTGTCATATCCTAAAGTAGAGGCAATACATTGGTGGGACTTTTATGAAAAGACAACGTAGTGCTTTGAATAACAAAGCAAATGAGGAACTGTGGCAGAGAGAGTAGATACACTATGCAGGTTCATTTTAGATTTATCTCCATTTGAGCAAAAATCCAATTTAGATCCAGCCCTCCTAGACCACATACCCATGCAGGCTCCCCTTCATGGCGCAACATAACTCAAGGACAGTGAGTCAGCCAGTCAATATGAGCCTAATCTAATCCATGGTGCTGAAACCTGAACCACCATGAGACAAGCTGAAAGCTGTGATGTCACAGGGCGAGACCTCCGGCCCATATACCTGCCTAGAGAGATGGGAGAGTCTGCTTACCTTGTTCTAACACTGACATTCTTTATCCTTGTCTGTGTGCAGCAGAGCATTAAGTTGATATATTAGTATCAAGCCAGTCGTAATCACCACCTGGGGAGGACTCAAGGGAGAAGAAGACAGAGCGACTGACCAATGAGGAAGAAGGGAGAAATCAGAGAAAAGGATGTGGAAATATCAGGATCAGGCGCTTGGATGGACGTGAAGGCCGCCACCACATGCACAAACACAGACACACAAGCACGCACACCTCATTAACTGTATTTGACTTCTCACCATATTTTTGTTACAGATCTCTCCATATGAGAAAACAAACAGGAAAATCCTTCTCGGCCACAGAGCAAACATTTCAACTCTTAGTGGCTCTCTTTCTCTAATCCTGTGAGCACCTCCAAACATGAACGCTCCTTATTTCCTCTCTATATTTTCTTAAAACCAAGCAGACTGAGACAAAATTCCTGTGAGTGTGTTATTTACGAGAACTGTTGACCACCTCGGCAATGGCTGGCAACGTGTGTCCTGTCCTTTGGTGCCAACATATACAGGCCAGGAAGTCAAAGACACCACAGAGAAAATTCATCATTCTCCACCTCTGACACTGATATAGAGACATATTTTGAATTTGAGCTGTCAGGGGTTATTTATATTATACCTTGCCAAATCAGCTAACTCTACTTTTGTGTCAAATCTTAGTTCACCATCTTCATTTTTATCTCACCAAATTTACTGTGAAATACATCCAAATTATGTCATTGCACAACGTATTGTTTTCCTTCAAGCACCTATTGCAAAGTCTTTTTTCTTGAGTGAGGAGACAGATTTCAGTGACGTCCTCCATAGTGCTTCGAGATTTCCCAGTCCCCTGACGCCGTGTGACACCAATTAGGAGGCTGCGGATATGACAAGCCATTGGTCCAAATGCTGTAACTGACAAAAGAATAACTCTCTCGCTGTGTTTCTTTGTGTCGGACGAGAAGTGAGGGAGCAAAATGGAGACAAGTCAAGAGAATTACAATGATGAGGAGGGAGGTAGAAGCCTCATGGGAAGGAAAAAGGGAGTGAAAAGAAAGAGGGGAAACTGATTTGAAGCTGAAAGGGAATGGAGAACGGCTGATGAAGAACGGTAAGTTTTCTGTTGTCAGTCCACACACTTGACTGTCAGCTGACAGAACTGTCGATTCATGCCTCACTAAAAAGGCATGAGAAGAATGCTGATGTGCTGTTAGAGTACTTGGGAATCTGAGATATAAAGAGTACTTTTCCCCTTTACTGTTTAGAGCCTTGTACGGTATTTTACAATCCCCACAGAGGCTCACAAGACTCTCATTGTGTCTATTAACCTTGCTAAACCATTACAATGTGTTATACATAATATAACCTGTTTCACGGCTCCCAGGTTCCCACTACAGCAGTGGTATGATGTCATCAACTCAAGACACAGAACAGGAGGGCCATTATTTTCTGTGCAGTGCAGTAATGTTCACATCTGCAAAACCTGGTGATGCTGGTAATGAAACAAGAGAAGACTTTGAAAAGGCCCTGAGGTGTGCATAACGTGAGTATAGGTGTGTGTATCTGTGTGTGTGTTTGTGTGTGCGCGCTTGGAAAACAACTCCTGTAAAGAAAACGTACCATTGCCACCTGCCGTAATCAATGATAGTAATTCACATGAACGCCTTGGATGCAACTGGCAAATCACACACAGATGTTGCTGTTCGGCACGGACCCCTGTGTCACACAGCTGCCAGTTAAATGCAAGAAAAAAGTGTCATAGCTTGTGAAAAATCCACAAAGGCTCACCCAAGCTACCGTTTAGCAATAGTAATAGCAGGCAGCTGCTTACTGCATTTCTGACAGTTCACTGTATGTAAAAAGTATGCATACACTAAGCATGCATTATTTATCTGCTTTGGGCCAAAAAACAGGTAGTTAAGATAAAGATTTTGTAAAAGCTTCACACACAAATGTAAAGCATATGGATGTAGCCACGGCTTGACAATAGTTGTACTTGACTGACCCTGAGCGCTGGCTATCAGAGGCTGAAGTGAAAATGTGGCAGGGTTAGATACTAGCCCCAACTGAAGTCTTAGCTATGCGACGTGTCCAGTGACTAGGGCAGCGATTAGCTGACGGTTAGCTGACCTGACAGTGGTTTTGAATTTATGCGTCCCGGTGGACAGCAGAGGCAATCATATCAGTAACGCTGAGAAAGCCTGACACAGCATACACCACCAGCGTGTGTAAAACAAGCCTCTGGAGATGCCGTGACTGAAAATGAAATAGATCCCCAGCAGGGTGAAGAATACAAAAAGATATGTAGGAGGCACAGGGTTCAAACTGAGGGAGGCCGCATTCCCAGACCACCTATAAGACTTAAACATGGGGGGGTCGAGACTGTTTAATTAAATTTTCTGTCAAAATGAATGCCCTGACATGACTTGGTTTCATCACCTTGGCAGTTTTGATCAGGATTTTCAAAGTAGACCCCCCCCCCCCCCGCCGCCAAAAAAAATGTGCATAGACATGTAGTTGTGACATTCTATGTGTTCTGATCAACTGTAGGCAAACATTATAATGAAGAATATTTTCTGATGGAAATAATATTAATATTCTCTTTTATAATGATCTGGGTGCAAATAATCTGACATGCTGCAATTTATGATACATTTAAATTAGGATTTGTGGGATTTTGAATAAAGAAATGTCCTGAAAATGTTACCTTATGCTGAAGACTGACAATGACTGTCTTTGTTAGAGATGAGTTTTATTTCCTTTCTGCTGCAGTCAGGAGGGAACTTAATTTGACAGTGTCTCTGACACAGTTAAAACAGCATGAGCCTAACCAGTTTTCTCACTAAAGTGAAACTGTAAATTGGCCCAAAAAGCAATAGCTAGTTGTGTTTTTTTTGTGTTTTTTACAGCTAATGAGCATGTTTCATGGGACAGAATGACCACAGGCATTTGAAACAGGTAAACAAGGACTCTTTGGGGGCTTTTAAGGATATTTTTAAACCAGCCTGCGTAACCCGTCCTGGATGTGACCCCAACAAAGGGGTGAGAGCAGGTGAAGCCCCCAATCTGGCCCCTGTCTGAGCATGCCAGTTTGACTGCAGCTCAAACAAACACTGGATGAATTATTGAAACACCCTCTGACTCAAGCCCATGAGAACATGCTGGAATTTTAAGGTTGGAAGAAAATAAAAGAGACTATATTGAAAAAGAGTGAGAGTAGAGGTTGAAATGATGATAAAGGAAGATAGGAGGCTATGGGGGAGAGAAAATTCTAAAAAGACAGAACTCAAAAGAGTAGAGGAGATAGGTCATGTAGAGTGCAGAGAGCTAGACGACTTTATGGTGCACTCATAACATTTGGACATAACTCAGCAACTTCAGAATTAAATCTCTCACTTTCTCTGCCTCCATCTCATGTGACACACACTAAAACACTCATAAGCCTACACGCTACATCAGGATTCGATCCAATTAAGTCACTGTCAGATGTGAACCGTGTTGATAATTAGTGCAAAGTTGCAGTGATAAAGCTCTAAGTGTGTCACCTTCCAGAACTGGGACAGTTTAAGCTACAGGGGCCATTGGGAACACTCAGGCACAATGGACCAGCATAGGACACACACTCACTTACACCTCACTCACATGACAAAATTATATACTGTTATCAGGCCAACTCATTTATTCATATTTTCTCAGCAGAATAGATTTTTGGTGCTTCTTTTAGGTCACTCAGTCATGTCTCTGTCTCTCTCTGTCTTTCTGTGTGTGGTTGTTTGGACATGTATTACTCATGTTACAGGGACATGAATCTCTTTCAGCAGGCACATTGTGGGGGATTCACCTTCCTTTCAACACAGGTCTCCATGATGTAAATCATTAAATTTTAGGGTGACGACTTGGTTTAAGGTTAGGGCTAAGGGTTAGGGTAAGTCTTCAAGACGACTGTGTGTGTGTGTGTGTGTGTGTGTGTGTGTGTGTGTGTGTGTGTCAGGGTACATTTGGGACAAATTGGCCGTCTAAGGGTGAGAGGGAGGAATGAGGAGAAGTGAAATTAGCAGATACAGTCCATCACCTTTTCATTTATTCATTTCACGCACACACACAATCACAACTTATGAGGACAATGTGACATACTGATTGCAAAGCTCCACCCTCTACTAGCTGGTCCATCATAAGCTCAGTTATCCTTTTCTCTTCTGTCTCACTTTTCCTCATCCTGCCTCCCATTTGCCAGTTCCATTTCCATTGAACTGAAAACAATTGCTCTCATGTGTTCTCCCCTCCCATTAATACATCTGACTGATTCATGACTTGGTACTAATTACTAACTCATACATTATTTCAATTCATCTAATTTTAGGCTGTTTTCTATGTTTTTGTAGTTGATACATAATTGTATCAATGTAATCTTCCATAAACATAATGCAGGACACCTGTGGAGTTTTGGCCCATTATCTGAGCGTTGGGCCAATACTGCCCTCTGCTGGAATCAATTTGTATCACAGGGATGGTACATGAAATGCCCTGCTGGAAGATTGCAAATTGCATAGCTCGTCTTCTAGTTTCTTGCAGCAGACAAACATGAACCACAAAGTCACTTTACAGTAATATTTACAGGCTTCTTTTTTTTTTTTACATACACACAACAAATACACATACAGATGGACAGGAGACCGCTGTGGTTTTCAGTAATTGCAATCAAATTTAGGACCACTAATGGGACAAAGGCAGATCGAAGTGGTTGTGAGATGGTTAACAAGAGAAAACGCAGATGTAATATTGTACATGTATGTGAGTTTATTTTTGTTAAATTATTTTTTTATTAAATTCTATTTAAATAAAATAAAGAAAAAAACTGTTTAGTTGCTGCTCACAATCTGGTCCACAAACTGGTCACAATTGGTAGACTGGTGATGAGCGGTCACAAGTTAACACAAGGGGTCACATTGGTTTATTGTACAATATTGTATCATAGCTTGTAATTCTTAAAAATGGTTCAAACCCACACGTGCACACATGCCTTATGGTCATTTAGATGAATGAATGAATCCACCTGCTGAGGTTTAACCTATTTGTCTGAAATAGCACCAGTGACTGACAGAGGGGATGAAGTATTGGCAAGTATCCAGACTCCCTGTAAGAGACAAACACTGTTTGTTTAGTGGGAGATGGGGCTTCAAATCCTGGCTGTCTTTGTTTGATACTTTTAACTCTATGTGACTTTGTTTGCTGTGGTCTGCCACCAGAGGGCAGTCCCATTATATAAATGGCAAACAAAAACTCTCACTATATAAAATCAAAATATTAAGGGATATACAATAGGATTTTTTTTATGTTTAGCTGATTCAACAAAAGGCATTTTGTCTTCCACTCAGAAAAAAATGCTGAGATGTGCCATGAACAAAGTGAGACAAGATGAACAGGACAATAAAGAGGCAATAACATTACAATAACAACTAGAACTGCTAGCAGTTGTAAGCGGGGTCCAAGCCCCTGGCGCCAACCGCGCCCATCGCCCCGAGTGGGCCGCGCGAGTCGACGTGGCTCTGGGGGCCCGCACTAAATAAATGACCAGAGTTTAAAATGAAAGGGACTTGCGGTTATGGAGATGTAAATTTAATGTATGTCTATGGGAGGATTGTTTGATGTACAATTACTAGTGCTACCTAGAGGCCTATCGACACCAAATTTCACACAGCCACTCAGGAGGGCGTACCAGATAAGATCACCGAGTTTGATGTCGATCGACCATTCCAAACCTAAGATACGACATCATTCCTGTTTTTATCGTTTTTCGCAAACATTTGTTAGCTTATAATTTGGACATTTTTTGTCGGATCAAAATTTATTCTACAAACGTTTATGAGCTTGGTCCAGAGATTGTCCGTGCCAACTTTGGTGCCGATCGGACTTGCCATTTCGGAGGAGTTAATTAAAATAGGTTTTCAGTTTTCGAGATGTAGCAAAAAAAAATTATAGATGGAAATGGGCGTGGCCTATACCACGAGATTCAGCTCCATCCTCTGAACTCGTGGATACAAGGTTTTTGATATGCACCTACATATGCGGGAGTTTCAAGCCCAAACGCGTTGACTTTGTGCCTGAGGTGAGTTACTTGTACCTACCTTATGAGTTTCGTGTCCGTAGCACTTACTGTCTAAGCCGCAGTATGAGTTTTCTTGACGGAAGAAAAAAATAATAAAAACCAGAACGAATACAATAGGGTTCCCAGCTCAGCTGGTACTGGGAACCCCCACTTGGCTTGGACCCCTAATTACAATTACTTACAGAAAACAAAGAACCCTATGAACAAATGAACCTAACCCTCCTCAGGTAAACTATACTGCCTGTTTGAACAACAGAAATTTTGCTGTCTTGAACTGATAGAAGATGCAGCCAGGAGAGCACTGCCTGATGGTCTGAGGATTTTTCATAGTTCATATTCGACGAACATTTGTTTTGTGTAATCTTGAGAAATGCCATTTAATTCACAGACAAGCACACAATCTTTATAAATTATATAAACCAAATGACAACAAAACATAAGTAATAATATGATTCAGTATTAAAAATAAGGTTGATGTCTTTGTCCCACTGTTGAAAGATCACTCTTGTTCCCATAGTAATACAACAAAACAAACCATTGTCAGTCCCAGGGTTGGTTTCTTAAGGACATGTCTGTTACATTATACATAGCTTACTTGGTCTGCAGGGAAAGGTGTTAAAAAAAAGAAAGAAAAAAAAAAATCTACCATGACTTTGTCTCACATGTCTCTCAGCAGTAGATCATGTGCTTTCTAAAGCCCGACCAATATTGTAAGCTTTGTTGCCAAAACCTGCCGTAGGCTCCCTATCAGAATCAACATCATAAAGAAAATGGAAAAGTCAACACTGCGGTATTGTTGAGATGTTCCAAAGCAAAGTGAATGAATTGTGGTTGTACGTCACATTATTTTCACATTATTAAAGGTTATTGAATTACAAATTGGAACATTTAAAATAATTGCTCATGATAGCCAACATAATTGCTCTTTTTCTATTATTACATGTTTTTAATCAGCATGTCAAACCACCATGTTCAATTTCAAAGTTAGTTTCAAAGCTTCAAGTTACTACAAATTATTTTTGGTCCCCTTAAAAAATTGTCACAATAGACATGTAGTATGTGCCCACACAATGATTTCCTAAAAATCTCACAGTGCATTGTTTTATACTGGAAATAACTGGTCGTCAATCTGAATGCATAAAAAAACATGCAACGTTGCAAAAAAGGTTTAGCATTTATTTAGAAGGAACTTTGATGTTAAACAACGTGGACATGTATTAAGCGAGCAAACAGGGCTGCAACGTAATCATCGCAGGCAATCAACATGGATTATACTACAAAACTGTGCTGGATTAGCATTATAAGAGCATATAAACAACACACTGACATCTAGTTCACTCTACATGCACAAACCAAAATTAAAGTTTCTCCTTTTCTCCCTTTCCTTCTTCAGTCTTCAGTAGACCAGGGAGGAGTTTTTTGTCAAGGGAGTCTGGTGGTCTATCTCTGTAGGGATCAAAAATACCGAAGTTATCCTTTCAGCAATTATTTAAAATTTGAAATTGGAATCTATTTAAAATGGTAAAAATAAAGAAATAAAAATGTGTTAGCAATAAGTAATCACTATATGATCAGGGTTGTAAGTTTTACACATAGTTTTGTGTGTTAGTCAATGACTTAAAAAGAAATTAAATTAAATTAAAGAACATGGTGCGCTGATCTGAAAGTAACTGTGAGATCAAAAGATAAAAATAAATGTGTATAAGTTGATTATAATAAAAAACAGGAACTTCGAAGCGTCATAGAAAGTATCGAGTAGGAGGTGTATAAATTGCTAGTTCTTGAGAAGAGTCATATGCAATATTGTCAGAAAAACTGGAGAGCAGCTCACAACGGCTGCTTGAACAGCTATACTTAAGAATACATGCTAAAAGAAAATGTTTTCATAATATGTCTATGATTTAAGTTTTACCTGCAACAACCAATTTTCTTTTTGTAAATTCTGCAAGATTTTTTCATTGTTGCCCGTGACCAGCCATATTCTTCAGCTCTTAGAAGATTGTAAGTACAACTACATTTACATTACATTTATTCAATTAGCTGACGCTTTTATCCAAAGCGACTTACAATTGCTATACATGTCAGAGGTCGCACGCCTCTGGAGCAACGAGGGGTTAAGTGTCTTGCTCAGGGACACAATGGTGAATGTCTCACAGTGGGAATGGAACTGCGTATTGCTGTCTGTACATAAAAAGCACATACTGTAAATTATAGTTAGGCATACCTAACTGTACCTATTAGTATTCTTTAGCAATAGCAATAGCAATTCAAAAGGGTTTACATCAAAGTATCTATAGTTTGTTCTTATTAGTGAAAAAACAAAGATTGTGTGTCTAATTCAAGTGCATAGACAATGGCTTCATTGGTTGCTTTAAGAGATGAAAAATCAGCATTTTCTCCACCGCAAAATAAGACCTGCAGCTTAAAATACTTTCAAACAACATTTAAAAAAGTGGAAGTTGAGGGGGCAAACAATATCGACTAATTTGCTGGTTGATTTATGAGTTGCAAAGCCACAATTTGGTAGCACAGTTGAACTTAACACTGTTTCACTGACAGTGAACACATGGATGGTTCATCTGACAAATGAAGGTAACATATTTGTCATCTGACAAACGAAGATAGTTTTTAATTGAATATATAGTGTAGCATGCTTAAATTTGTTATGAATTTTAATAAATTTATGAGAATTAATACCCAATTATGAATTAATTAATTAATTATTAATTAATATTCATAAAATCAAAAATCATTCCTCATTTCAGGGCACCACCGGAGTTGTTATAATCCTAGAGTCGATTGTGGGAAGCATTTGACTCATACGGAATAGGAGAACTAATAAAAGTGAGCTAACACTATGAGTTTAGGAGAAAAGGAAATATTTACAGGACATCTCTGATCACAGAATGTTTGTTAGGTCTTACGGCTTGTCGGCCTGCTTTGGCCTGTTGCACGGGTCCCACGCTAGCTGCCTGATCTTGGCTTTTTGCTAGGGATTCTCCGGGGTTCTCCGTGTCTGACTGAAGAAAACGCCGTCCTCCGTCTGGCAATTCGGCTGTTTTCAGGTTTCCTTCGTTGCCGCTGGTTTGAGTCTTTGGAGATTGCAGTCTTTGGTTATTTAAAGTTCAGCTTCCTGGGTTATGTCACAACTTGGGTGAGACAGGGAGTATCCCTTTGATGGGGTAATGAAACACAGACCCAGTCAAGTTGCCACAGTTACATGTGTGGGGGGCCAGTTTTGATAGGCTGTTCAGGGAAATGCTAATCGCTGGTTCGTGTCCCTTTGTCAGTTTAACAGTCAGGCCCCGCGTTATCAGCTTCAGAATCAAAAAGGTGCCAGTTTTATGGTCAGGGATTGCACTTAGAGAAAGCAACTTTCACCCCCCCTTCCGTTGGGGTCTCCCCAGCAGTCTGTTGAAGTTGATCTTTAACACCCCCTGCTCTTCTCTGGGAGAGGAAAGAGGAATTTGGAGTAGCTCCAAATTTATTCATTATAAAATGCACAAATCCACACCGTTGTCCCACTACAATAGCTTTGGGAGACACATCAAAAACTAATATTTTTACTTTTTGCTGTGACACTGCTGTTAGTACACTTGCCACAATTTGTTTTCAAAGTCAGACTGCTGGCATTTGTATATTAATCCTGCAAACTTGCAATGACGCATGATGACTTGCATTGTAATTGGATGAAATACATAATTTAGTAAAAATGTGAAACATGAATTTTTTAAGTAGAACACTCTTCTTCGGGGCCAGGAAACCTGTATGGAGAGTTTGGTTTCATGTGGAGCATGAGGTTTTCACAGAGTTTCTGTCATCAGGTGTGTGTACAGTTCTTAGTAAGTTATTATATTACTTATAAGTAATCTATTAAGCCTGCTAGGAGTTGTAGGTTTATTTGGATTGGATCATCTTTTTATACTGTATATGCAAATGACACTCAATGGGCCAACTATATATACCATGAATGGCTATTGTAGTTGGATGTCCCAGCCATGTCATATTAGAGGCACCAGTACCCTCAGAATTTAATTTACTGTTAACTGTTTCCACTTTACAGATAGTGGCACCTGCTCGTGGTCGTACTCCCTAGTCACGCTATCAGCAATTGCAAGAACTACAGCATGGTAAGCTTTACACATACTGTTCAATATTTATGTTGAATCTGAATCTGTTTGTTGCTGTTAGTCTCTACTGAATCTAAATTGTCCTTAAAGTTATTTTAAGTTATTACTTACTGATTCAATTCCTCTCCACTCCCTTACTTCTCCTTTTGCCTTTGTCTTCTCTCTTCTCCTCCCCTCTTCACTAGGTGCTCAATTGTACAGAGATAGATTACGTGCTGAAGAGGTACTACCTGGCACCGTCTTATGGCATTGAGTTCTGTATTGGATTCCCTAGCAACCTTTTGGTTGTACTTGGTTACATTTTTTGTTTGCCCAAGTGGCACAGCTGCAACATTTACCTCTTCAACCTGGCAGTCTCTGACCTTATTTTCCTTTGCACACTGCCACGCCTCTCGTACCTCTATGCAAATGACCAATCAGAGACTTGTCCTTTGGCTTGCCTTATCAACCGCTATGTCCTGCATGTCAATCTTTACTCTTCCATCCTCTTTATGGTTTGGCTTAGCATGGACCGCTTCCTGCTCATAAGACATCCATCACGGAACCATTACCTGCTGAAGCCACGAACAGCCCTGATTGTGACAGGACTGAGCTGGCTGGCCGTCAATGTGGAAGTTGCTCCAATGATAGTACTGATGATCCATGACCTGCAGAGTGAAAATTGGAATCGCTGCAAGGATTTTGCAAGCCTAAAAGGACATGTCAATGTATTAGGCTACAGCCTGGGGCTAACTTTGACTGGTTACATTCTCCCTCTGCTAGGACTTTGCGGTTTCTCCCACCAAATTGCGCATCTGCTTTGTGTCCAGGAAAAGGCTCTACAGAACAGGTCAACTTCGTACAAGCGGCCTCTCCGGGTTGCTGCATCAACTGCAGTCCTTTTTCTAGTTCTCTACACTCCCTACCATGTGCTGAGAAATGTCAGAGTAGCTTCTCAGGAGGCCTGGACAGGGCTGCAGGTGTGTACAAAGATGTACATCGAGGCCACATACATCTTGACCCGACCGCTGGCCTTCTTGCACAGCGTCATCAACCCTGTTTTCTACTTCTTCATGGGTGACAAGTTCAAAGAGCTCCTAGAGGCTAAGTTCAGAAAGCTGGTCAGAATGACAGAGCGGCAAAGAGAATCCATCTGAAAAAATTATACCCAAGATCCCTTTAATCTGTTTTAACTGTTTAACATTTTTATTGATATAATTGTCATCCAGTAGTAAAAGTGATTAAGTAATGTAAACATGTCATGAAAATGTTGATACTGTATAATACTGTACATTTTCACATTTATTATATATTCTTTTCTCTTATTTGTATTCCTTCTATGCCTTGATGTGCAAACAAGTACAATTTCCCCTCGGGGATCAATAAAGTATTTCTGATTCAATTAATTCATTAAGGGGAAATGAGGTAAATTGTGTTGACAAAATAGAGTAATGTAAAATAACTTCATACATTTAAAGGTCAGAAACTGTTGCTATTTTTATATTGACGCTCTGTTTAAGCATGCGTAAGGCAAGTTCCTTAGTTTTTGTTGTTGACTGAAGACATTTGGGTATAAGATCAAATGATGAGGTAATGTCATGGCTTGGGCCTGCATGGCTGCTTCTGGAACAGTCTCATTAATATTTGTTGATGATGTAACTGATGATGGTAGCAGCAGTGTACAGAAACATTTTGTCTGCCAATTTACAGAGAAATGCATTGAAACTAATCGAGAGGAAGTTGATCATGCAGCAGGACAATGACCCAAAGCACACTGCCAACAAAACAAAGGACTTCATCAGGGGGAAAAAGTGGAAGGTATTAGAGTGGCCAAGTCAACCACCTGACCTTAACCCAATAGAGCATGCATTTCATCTCCTTAAGAGGAGACTGAAGGGAGAAACACCCTGAAACAAACAAGAACTGAAAGACGCTGCAGTAAAAGCCTGGAATAGCATCACAAATTAAGAATGCAGTTTGGTGATGTCGATGGGTCGCAGGCTTGAGGCAGTTATTGCAAGCAAGGGCTATGCCACCAAATATTAAATGTTATTTATTTTAAGATTATTTGTTCCATTACTTTTGCTCACCTAAGAATGCTGTGGTCAAATACAAACGGTGAAGTTGTTTAACACATCTAGATGTGAATACCAGGAAATAAAAGATGAAATTCTGAACTCTTGTCTCATACTCATCTTTTGATCTTAAACCCAAATTTCTTCAGTAAATAACAAAAACAAAGGACTTTGCCTTACCTTTTGGAGGGGACTGTATGTATGTGCACACAGGTTGCTGTTTGTATTTGTATTTGCTGAAAAAGCATCATTATTTATATTTGTAGTCTGATGAAATTGGAGATGCATGTTTTGTCATGGTTACTACTATTGTTGGGATGGCTGCGTTGTACTGTATCATATTTCAATGTATTTAAATGTAACTTGACCCAACTAATAATTGCCTGCTATTAATATTACTACTGAAATGTTAAAAAATTGTGATAAATATAAAAAATAGAAAACAAGTAAATGATGCATTGCGGCATTTTTTTTATGTGATTGTGACACACAACAATATGTTTAATTGTGGCTGTAATAAAAATACTACTTTTAAATTGGCTGTTACTCTACATTCACTTAGGTGATGCAAATGGACTCACAATTGCTATATATGTCAAACATTGCACACCTCTGGAGGAACTTGGGGTTAAGTGTCTTGCTTAGGGGCACATTAGATATGTCGAACCCTGGTCTCCCATATAAAAGGTATGTGTCTTATACGCTTTAATCTATATAATACTGTATATACTATAAAATAATTTTTTTGGTGTTTTGTGTATTTTGAAGCAATGCTGTTCACTCAATATTCAGAAGCCAAGTCTTAGAATTTCTGGGCTTTTCATCAGCACCAAAAGTCAGTATTAGATATTCTTTACAATTAAAATGTGTTAACTTTGAATTCCATGGCAGCACAAGCACTAAAAAAAGGTGAAAATGAGGAGTGTCCTAATGGTTTATGATACATACGATGTAACAACAATGTCTCCAGGCAGAATTTGACCAAACACGTTTGTCACATCTCCACATTATTGTCACTCCCCAATCTCGGCCAATCTGAGCCACGTGTTGCAAGGAGGGACATGGTGACAGCCTAGATGCCAAATATCACATTTTCTGCGTTCACATAATAATCCATTACATGTAGATGAATGACTAAACTCAAACCTGTCAACCAATGCTTTAGCAGACTTTTTTCTTATGTAATGTGAAACATATATTGCTGATGACTTTGTAAGCTTTCTGGAGTGTTTCTGAGAACTTTTGCTGCTTTTTTGTTAATTGACAAAAGTGTATTTGTTACCCTTTACACATATTTAGTAAGGATTCTGAATGTTGTGAAAATCTGTCAAGAAAAACAGTTTCATGATTTCATCTCTGCTGTCTGTTTTTCATGGATTTAACTGATCCTAGCTTGTTATGTAGCTTGTAACGCTGTGACCTTTTCAACTGAGCCATCAGCAGGGGTCTTGTTTTCATTTTGAGAAGCTCCTCATTGTTTTCCAAAAGTTTATTGTGCAATTTCCTGAGTAATGTCGGGGATTTAAACTTTTACATGGGTGACATTTAGAATAGGTTTGGATTTGGCTGGTGTATAAGCAGTACATGTCCTATCACTGTAGCATAGTGTGTTTAATTAATTATATTTGTGTAAATGTGTGTATTTGCAAAGTACTCATGTGTTATAGTGTCAGTGCTTACTTTAGTACTCCAACATCATTCCCTCCTTTCACATTTCTAGGTTTGAAACACTAACACTACATAAAAATCTAAATACAATCCCTAGGAATGAAAAGGTTTTTTTCTGTTTGTTCTCTCTCTTTCCTGACTCACATTGATTACTCCAATTACAAAATCCCTACCTTGAAAAACTTTGCCTGCTGTAAAAACGTTGTTGTAGTATTTCAAATATTGAGTCGGGCTCTTTTTTTTTTTTACACAATATATTTTTTCACATAAAACTCACATTTAGTGTTGTTTGTTCTGCTTTATTGAAAATGTTATTAACGAATAATATTCTAATATATATTTCAAAAATTGGAATCATCTGAAGGTCACAACACTCATGATAGCCTCCTTCATTTTGGACAGTCAATGACCTTTGGCCTTAGTTAGGCCCCAAATCCCCATTAAATTCATAGGGCTTTAACACAACAGGCAGGATCACATGCTTTCTTTCACACATGACTAATCACACCATGCTTGATCCATCTTTTCATTTATGTTGGCATCTGTCCTGGAATTAGCAAAGAAAGGAAGCAAGGATGAAATATCAGGCTTTTAAGTTTCATATTAAAAGCCAGAGGGGTGATATTGAGACGGAGACGAAAAGTACAGTGGGAAATACATGTAGGGACAGATTACAAATAGTGTGATATCCTAATGTAATAATATTTTGTGAAGATAATTTAGTATTGCAATTCAGACAACTGTGGCTGGCCATTGAGGCAACAAGAGTATTATAGGGCACATAGTCTTTACAAAGGTTGCTGTATGTTAAACTTGTGGTTTCTTAAATAAAGCAATTACACTAAGCAGTAATACTGTTGTGGAGATAAAATATGTGTTCTACATGGATGATTTAGTCTGAAACTCATTACTGACATGATTGTCAAGCCTTATGAACAATGTTTCAACAAAGCTGAGAAAAAAATCATGTTTACACAAAGTGCATATTTGTATGAGCATGCTTACTCACATTCCTGTGTGAACAGAGTATGTTTTTGTACACTTTCTTTACTGTATAATCTGTACAAAACCATCCAAATCCATGAAATCCATTTCACGTTAGTTATTAGCCCTCCATAGCAGTAAAAGAATTTGAGAACAGTCTCCCCATTTCATGTATAGAGGGGTATACACAAATACAGCACCTGGCTACACACCTGCACACAAGGCCAGCATACCAGGAGGACAACAAAGACGAGCATAGTGTAGCACTTAAATAGTCCACACTACACCCAGGAGGCGTGGAGTGTTTTGTTAACTGTGTACTTATGAAAGAGCATCACCTATTTGAATCATCCTTTTTTTATAAATGGTTTGTTTACACTCATGCATCATCCTCTTTGCTATCCAGAGAAAACAAAATGCCTATTTTTTTCCAACCTCTTGGACTGAACATGTGTAGGTGTGCTTAGTGATAGGTTTGTCCACACAGTCAGGCGAATGTTTGCAGAGTTCATCTGTACTCTCACTCCCCAGCTATATGAACCCTCATCAGATCCAACGGGGATTGCTTCACCTAGAGTAAGTGGCGCCAAGTGGATTTGGTGTGTCTGAGTCAGTGTATTCAGAATATCCTTCTCAGCATACTGCCCTTTTCACTACGTGTAATGTACTTGTCAACACTGTGTAGCATGTAACATGAAAATGACAAGTACATCATTTCTAATACGGTATGTCTTTCTCTCTTTCTCTCTGCATAATATGTGATTGCACACACACAAGTACAAGTGATCGGTAGTTCAAGGTAAAGTCAATTTATTAACAGATAACATTCAAATAAAAAATTATGCAAATCATTAGTGCTCCGAGAGGGAATCCAAAACAAAAACAGAAGTAGTTATATTTACAATGGAGAATGTAGCAGTGCATAAGCAAGTTAACCAGGTTTCTCTGTCAAAAAAACTGCTGTAAAGCTCTAAAAAAAGTGACATACTTCCTGTTGCAGTGTATTTTAGATCTCCACCCTATGTGCAGAGAGGTCACAAGAAGCTACCTTATCATTGCTTGGCCTCAAGGAAATGCAACCTCATTTCCTCTGAATGCAGTTGACTAGCAACCTGCATACATACCTGGAGATCAGAGATAGTCTTAGTGCCTGCCTATAATCTCCTGTTTACACATGGTTCCATATTATACATTTTATCATGAACTTAATCTAACAGCAGCAAAGTTGCCTTTGTGTCATTGCCTATATTCATTACACAATATTATATTTTGGGAGCCATACTAGCGTATTTGTTGTTTACGTGTAGAAGGGTAAATATACCCAAATGACTGGACTTTTTTGGTTACCACACATAAAGTTGTTTCCTTACACTATGATAAAATCATGCGTGAACAAAGAAGGGGGTAGTACACACACACACACACCTATTAATTTTGTTAAAGGGGACTCTTGAGATGCTGAGACATGAGGTGTGCTATAAGGATTAAGGCTCCAAATAAAATGTTGCCCAATACCCTATTAGACATTATCCCTCTCTTTGCCATATTGCTACATCACACTCAGCTAAGCCCAATCACTAAATGTGCATTCTACATGGTGTGAATAATGTTTGAAGGTATGCACATTGTTACAGCATGGTCTTTACTTAAAAATACCAATACTCTTTACGGAATG